AGGCAGATGGCTGTGTCGTTTAACCCAGTGGCCTGAGATAGAAGGCTTTGGTATTTAACCTTGATGACTGTGTTGTTTAACTTTATGGCCTAAGGCAGGTGACTGTCGTTTTGAACTTTTCTTTGTTATAGTATTTATTACTCAAAGACTGTAAATATCTCTTCCAGAAGTAATACATAATGTCATTTATTCAGATCAACACATTTCATGAGTTAATGGAGGCACCCTATGTCTTCAGTGAGTGAGTTTAGTTCTACGCCACACTCAGCAATATTCCTGCTATATGGCGGCGGTCTGTAAATAATCGAGTCTGGACAAGGCAATACAGTGATCAACAGCATGAACATCGATCTACGCAATAGGGAACCAATGACATGTGTCTTCCAAGTCAGCGAGCCTGACTACCCGATCCCGTTAGTCGCCTCTTACGACAAGCATAGGTTGCCGAGGACCAATTCTAACCCGGACCTTTCCGGGTCTATGTCTTGAAGTTCAACATTGAACTTTTCTTTGTTATAGTATTTATTACTCAAAGACTGTAAATATCTCTTCAAGGAGTAATACATAATGTCATTTGTTCAGATCAACGCATTTCATGAGATTTCTTTTCGGAAATTGGTTCGTTTCGGAATGTAAATGACGAGATCTCGTGATTTCGCGAGAACTGAACACGCTAAAGGCGGATGGAGATAACCTCGATTGTTGTGAAACAATAAACTCCCCAAATGCAGCATTGCAACTCAGTAGACCAGTTATCCAACCAATATCAAACCAAAATGCATCATTGTTTTTGGATCTTGATTCAGCTGCGATATTTCAATTTTTAATTTTTTTTTAAATCAGTGACTTTTTAATTCTTAGATTTATACAGCTTTCAAATCCAACCACAGTTTTCATTTCAACGTTTAAATTCAATAACCTTCCCTTACAAACTGGCAAGCAGGTTGTTTAAAGACAACAGACCAATGTTTGTATCTTTGTATTCTTGTTAGAATGAATCTTTAGCGCACCATGTTTATTGTTACAGATATTGCTGAGTGCGGCGTAAAGCTAACTTCACTCACTCACTTATTATAAGAGTCGCCTTGTGTTGGTCGTCATTCACGCTGAGGTCATTGCAGCAGTTACATAGATACATGTTCATGGTATTAAGACCCGTGAAAATCCGGGTTAGAATTGATCTTCAGTAACCCGGCTTGTCGTAAGAGGTGACTAACGGGATTGTTTGGTCAGCCTTCTGACATGCTTGACAGATGTCATCGTCTACCAATTGCGTAGACCGATGCTCATGATCTTGATCACTGGAGTGTGTGGTCTAGACTCCATTAGTTACAGACCACTGCCATACAGCGGAAATATGGCTGAATGCGACATTTGAACCACATTGTTTACAATTACTCAGATGTCAAAGTTATTGATACATATATCTCTCCGTGCTGTACGTCATATATGATGGGAACAGTAACCTTCACCTTTAGTTGTGGGGTAGCCTAGTGGTTAAAGTATTCGCTCGTCATGCCAAACGCCCTGGTTCGATTCTCAACAATGTGTAAAGTCGAGAAGCGCCCATTGTAATGGAATATTGCTAAAAGAGGCGTAAAATTGTAAAAACTCACAGTCAATGATGGAATTAAAGGCCGGAGTGCAAACTTTAAAACATCCCGTGGGTTTTTACGAAAATACATGAACTTTTGTGATTATCTCTATGGTTTCAGTTAAAATCCACACATACTTTCATTCGCACTGAAATTTTCCACTGTACTTGACAAAATAACGTATACTCTCCCAAAAAGAAACGCATATACGAATTTCAACTGTATTTTATGTTTATTTTGAAACATCTTGTAGGCTTTATGAGTCAATGAAATATAGCGAAATTGCACACTGGGAATGCAGACTTATCCGTTTTTGGCATCAACACGAGGAAAGTCAGTTTGAGTGTCACATGGACACTTGTGGTGGCGCTGAAGTCAATACCTCGTGTGACCACCTTGGGCATCCAGAGCTGCACTGCATCGCCTCGGCATCGAACGAACAAGTCTCAGAATCTCGTGTTGCTTAATCACAGCCCACTCTGCCTGTAGTGCCTGTGCGAGTTGCTGAAGTGTCTGGGGCTGAGGGTTACGGCTTCGCACCCGTCTGTCCAGGGCAGCCCACAGATGTTCGATCGGATTTAAGTTCGGTGATCTTGAGGGCCAGGGGAGCACATTGATGTTGTGGTTCTGGAGGAAGTCTCTAGTGTGACGTGCTGTGTGGGGCCTGGTATTGTCCTGTTGAAACAACTCCCTCTGGCGATCAATGAATGGAAGGAGATGTGGGCGTTGAATTTCGTTACAGTACCGTTTAGCTTTCAGGTTGCCCTGGATCATCACCAAATCACTTCTCCTACAGCAGGTGATCTCTCCCCCACATCATAACACTGTCCCGTCCGAATCTGTCCACCTGGGGAACGCAAGCGTCGGCGAAACGTGCACGTCGACGCCTGTACACCCGCATTCTTCCATCGCGTCGTTCTAATAGAAATCGTGATTCATCACTGAACCTGATTCTACGTCCATTCGGTAGGTTCCAGGCCTAAACGTTCGTGCACCATTGAACTTGATGTCAACAATGTTGTTGTGGAAGCACAGGACCAAAATAAGGTCTTTTGGCACGTACACAAGCCTCTCTCAACCTGCTCCTGACGGTTGTGCAGGAAGCCTCCTCAATCCGGGTATTTGTCGAGCGGTACTGGTCGCCGTAGCTGTTCGATGACGCAGGTGATGTACCCGGATGTAGCGATCCTGCGCCGCAGTGGTCGCTCGACTGGCCAGCTTCAAGCAAACCAATGGTGATATGACGGTTGGCTTCACTTAGACGTGACATTTTGCGTTCGTCAACAATTATTCAAAATACAGTGAATAATCGACAGACAGCGATCAACCTTTTATACCCATCATTGAGACTATCTGATCCCCAACGTTCACGTCCATTGCATGTGAATTGTGTATTCTTTGACACTATACGCCGAAATTGAAAATCATGCTGTTAAATACGGGTATTTTACGGATGGTGCGTTTTGTTGTGATGTTTCAAAACATAAACACCATAGAACTCATAAACAGAGCAAAACCTTTTGTAAAATGAATCACGTTTTAATTCATTGCTACATGAAATTGCTTTTTTCATGATGCGTTTTTTTTTAGGAGAGTATACATTACTAACAATACATTTTGTAATAGAGAAATACACAATCCCACAAAATCAAATTGAAATCGAACATTTATTTTTAGGGCTTTAGTATGTAGAAAGTAGACTCTGCATGTACAACCAGTGTCACTCACTGTCAAACATTGAAGCTCCCAATATATCGCAATATGTATCCAAACATGGATACCAGCATTGGGTATGCATCAGAGAGCATGCATCAGTGGGTGTACACTGGCGCTTTGCAAATTTCCACTATTATATTATTAATTGCAATAAAGTGCAATACTATTTATTTGCCAAAACACAGCCCAAGTCACGTGGCATCATTACTCCTGTGTGACATCCACTGTGCTACCTGATATTCACTGGCCCATTTCATACAGTGTCCCTTCGCACCAAATCTTTTGATTTCATTGTTAATATTGAAGTCGTGCTTGGTTTATGACAAAATTACTTTGCACCTAGAATTGGGGAATTTCTTTTTTTTAAGTTTATTATTCCCGAGAGAGACATGTTACCTGCAACAGGCACTTATTGAATACATACATGTATATATACAACCGGCTTTCAGGTCGCCGTCATCATGAAAGTGTTCAGTAGTCATAATATTTGATTAATAATGGTACATAATCATATAATCATTCCATGTGGGACCACAGTAAGTCTAGGTAGACTTATATCTAACAGGAAACTTGTATCAATACACACCTTGTTTACACATAATATGTGATTAATAATGGTACATAATCATATAAGTATTCCATGTGGGACCCCAATAAGTCTAGGTAGACTTATATATAACAGGTACTTTGCATCATATACATACCTATATACATACAAACAGGTTTCAAGTCACGGTCATCATGGAAGTGTATAGTAATCATTATCTGATGATTAATAGTACGTCATCCTATAATTAATCCTTCTGGGACCACATTAGGTCAAGGTCGACTTGCCTATAACAGGCACTTTGTATTGAATACATACAGGCATACATGCAAACCAGCTTTCAAAACACAGTCATCATGGAAGTGTGCAATAATCATTATCTGAGTAGTAATAATATCTGATTGGTAATAGTATATTATCATATAATCATTCCATGTGAACCACCGTAGGTCTATCTGGTGAAAGTTTGGTTTAACATTTTTTCCTGCTCATAGTGAACAAAATCTTTTGATTTCATTGTTAACATTGAAGCCGTGCTTGGTCAATCACCAAACTACTACGCACCTAGAATTGTGGAATTAACCGGGGGGATCTCCACACCTTAACACAGACAGAAGGATTCCAGGGTCAGACTGAAGTATGACTCGGATCCTGGTGCTTATATAGCTGAACCCTCTGCTTGTATGATGTAATCCACTTCCCTAATAGGGAGACGACGCTTAACCTATATTTTGAAGAGTTGTGCCTTCGAAATATTACTCAATCTTGGCAGACAGCTTTAGAGATTATAATTGTTTTGGCCGTGTGTTATCGGAAAAGTTGAGTAATAACCAGAAATGCACGAGGTTAAGCATCCATATCTACGTCTGTCTAATATTACAGCGTGTAAAGGCGTGAATATTTGACCATTAAGTTGTGGCCGGTGCGGTCACTACAAACTCTGGAGTGTATACTCAATTAGGCTTTGAGCGGCATGGGGCGATAACGGCAGCATAGACAGCTGTCAGTTATGCAAGTTGCCGGTAACAAGTATGTTACAACATGAATACTTTAACAAAATGTGAGAGATATAAAATCGACTTTGTTGAGAAATATCTGAATAATTTTAGGTAAAAATATACACATTTTGCAACTGTTATAACATTCCTGTTTGTATGCTGAGGGAGCTTCTCTTCTTAAATAACTTCTTGGATGATTATTCTTTTCTGATCACGAGATATATAAATCTCAAATCGTCCTTGAATATTTCAGGGTTCATCCTTGAAATACGTTTCTTCATGTCGTCGTACAGCCCATCAACTATCTGCTCCTTCTCCTCCAGTGATCGGGAATCTGAGAGACCATTCATGAAGGTACTGTTGCTCCAGTTCCTGTGAGCATACACGTACATTCTGGCAAACTCCTCCCTTTCATCAATTCCTTCTTTGTCTTTCTTCTCTCTCCAATTGTTGTAAAATACATCAGGATTCACAACAGCTTCAGCTGACAAGAGACTTAATCCAGACCTTGAAACAGGTGACGTTTTGTCATCGAATGGTTTTCTGACCTGCTCCATGTTAGGTAAACAGAAGGACAAATTTGTATTTATGAACTCATCTTTGGTGATTTTACCAGTTATACTGTATTCTTTCCATACCTCGTTCAGTAGACCTATAAACGATTGCAGCATGTATCTATTTTCTCCAGTGTTTCTGCCCTCAAATTCAGCGCAGGTACCTACGACAAGTAAACCTCCCCGTTTCAGTTCTCTACTTCTTTTCAGTAAAAAGGTCTCCCAGTCCAACTCGGCTTGCTTGTGTAGTGCAGCCGTCTCCTCAGTACTACTCTTGGCATCTTTGTAAATCGAGTCCTTGAAGGTGGTTGGTGTCCTTGACAGCCAATGGACAGACGTCATTGACATCATGAAATGGATAGAGTTTGAAGGTACACACTGCTTGTAGAAGTTTGTCCCTGAAGCAAGAACATAGACATTGTCCATTTCCTGGAGGTAGGACGGTGGATCAGGGATGATTCCTGACATACGTTTGAAGAGGGAATTGAAATCGTTCATTTCCAAGTCTTCATAGATCACCTGGAACTGGGTGTTGGGGCCATGATGATCTTTCAGAGTTGCCAACAACTCACGGAAAATGGCCATGGCAGTAGAACCATCAGCTGCACCATAGTCGGCAATGTTGAAGACCGAGTCCTTGTCAGTGAAAGGAAGGGTTTTGGCCAAACTGAGAATCTGTTCTCGTACTGGTTCGACATATCCAACATTTTGTTTTCCGAGTGTTGATCCATAGTTTCCGTCTCCTGTTTTTCCATACGGGCGATATATTTTTGGAATATCTCCATAGTATCTCACTGGGACAGCTGCAAATCCCTTGTTCAACCAGTGACATCTTCTTATCGTTGAAAAGAGTATCCTGGTGGACATTGTTGATGCAGTGTTTTTCTATTTATAAATATTCGTTGCAATCCTGTTGAAGACTTATTGCCTGTAGAAAAAAAACATAACAAATTATATATTCGCCAACAGGTTTTACTACCATCCCCTTGTCCAGCTCAACATCAACACATTCTGATTAAAACATTAATTTCGAAATATTAAGCTGATTAACAGCATCACAGCCAGAATTGTATTTCTATGATTGCCAGACAGTTTGAACTACACATGCTTTTGCAACACACGGCTAAGATTTGGTCAACTGCTTACACTTTCTGTCGACTCCAGCAAATATGTATTGTAATCTGATAACACCTGAACAAGGAGCACTCTAAGTCACCACAGTGCTAACTCTCCTACGCAACGGACATTACTCATGTTTCTCCCTTGGTGTTCCCAAGTCAACATCTAAACGGGAGGCAGAGAGGTTGCAATTAAATGGACGAAACTGTGCACTTATCTAAACAACATTGCATGAATAGACTGTACGTGTTTTCGTCTGCGTGTGCGTGTTCGTGTGTGTGTGTGTGTGTGTGTGTGTGTGTGTGTGTGTGTGTGTGTGTGTGTGTGTGTGTGTGTGTGTGTGTGTGTGTGTTTTCCATAAATATGGCTCGTCAATTCGACTAACCTCAGAAATATAGTTACGTGATTGTCGGCAATGTATCTATGTCAAAGAAAGTTTCAAATATACATTCCAATACAACAAAAATTCAGCTCACACCTTCGCATACCGTTACCATTCAACTTTCCATCACCCGTAAGACTGTCGTTTAGAAACATATTCAATAATATACATTAAAAGCGTACTTACATAAAGTTACATTCACCAGACGATATATCCGTGCAAGTCACCACGTCAAGGAGTACCAGTTAGGTGATTTGCACGGTTGCAGTCATGTGACATACGTCATGTCAAGGATCTAGTTGCAAGTGTAACAGTGAAAATAGGCCAGTGTCGAATGCACACTCCAACATTCAGCTCACACACTGTTTGTCAAGGACCCGGAAATCTGAATCTTCACTTATGTGTGTCTACTATAGAAATATAAAACATGTAATCAGTTTATTCATGTCTGCAATACATTGCAAAGTCTTTGATATTTTGGTGAGTCGTTGATATGCTTTATGCAGCAGATACGTGATATGCAGCAGACGCTATCAGTAATTGTGCAGCTGTGCAGGGTCAGTCACGTGATATACATGTCAAGGACTAGAGGAATTTCCTCAAGTTATGTGATCTAGCTTTCGATCACGTGGTACATGAGGGCAATATACGATTTTAGAAACTGTGTCGTTTGTGTTGTTGAACCTTGTGGCCTAAGGCAGATGACTGTGTCGTTGAACCTTGTGGTCTAAGGCAGATGACTGTGTTGTTGAACCTTGTGGCCTAAGGCAGATGACTGTGTTGTTTAACCTTGTGGCCTAAGGCAGATGACTGTGTTGTTGAACCTTGTGGCCTAAGGCAGATGACTGTGTTGTTTAACCTTGTGGCCTAAGGCAGATGACTGTGTTGTTGAACCTTGTGGCCTAAGGCAGATGACTGTGTTGTTTAACCTTGTGGCCTAAGGCAGATGACTGTGTTGTTTAACCTTGTGGCCTAAGGCAGATGACTGTGTTGTTTAACCTTGTGGCCTAAGGCAGATGACTATGTTGTTTAACCTTGTGGCCTAAGGCAGATGACTGTGTTGTTTAACCTTGTGGCCTAAGGCAGATGACTGTGTTGTTGAACCTTGTGGCCTAAGGCAGATGACTGTGTTGTTTAACCTTGTGGCCTAAGGCAGATGACTGTGTTGTTTAACCTTGTGGCCTAAGGCAGATGACTGTGTTGTTTAACCTTGTGGCCTAAGGCAGATGACTGTGTTGTTTAACCTTGTGGCCTAAGGCAGATGACTGTGTTGTTTAACCTTGTGGCCTAAGGCAGATGACTGTGTTGTTTAACCTTGTGGCCTAAGGCAGATGACTGTGTTGTTGAACCTTGTGGCCTAAGGCAGATGACTGTGTTGTTTAACCTTGTGGCCTAAGGCAGATGACTGTGTTGTTGAACCTTGTGGCCTAAGGCAGATGACTGTGTTGTTTAACCCTGTGGCCTAAGGCAGATGACTGTGTTGTTGAACCTTGTGGCCTAAGGCAGATGACTGTGTTGTTTAACCTTGTGGCCTAAGGCAGATGACTGTGTTGTTTAACCTTGTGGCCTAAGGCAGATGACTGTGTTGTTGAACCTTGTGGCCTAAGGCAGATGACTGTGTTGTTTAACCTTGTGGCCTAAGGCAGATGACTGTGTTGTTGAACCTTGTGGCCTAAGGCAGATGACTGTGTTGTTTAACCTTGTGGCCTAAGGCAGATGACTGTGTTGTTGAACCTTGTGGCCTAAGGCAGATGACTGTGTTGTTGAACCTTGTGGCCTAAGGCAGATGACTGTGTTGTTTAACCTTGTGGCCTAAGGCAGATGACTGTGTTGTTTAACCTTGTGGCCTAAGGCAGATGACTGTGTTGTTTAACCTTGTGGCCTAAGGCAGATGACTGTGCTGTTTAACCTTGTGGCCTAAGGCAGATGACTGTGTTGTTTAACCTTGAGGCCTAAGGCAGATGACTGTGTTGTTTAACCTTGTGGCCTAAGGCAGATGACTGTGTTGTTGAACCTTGTGGCCTAAGGCAGATGACTGTGTTGTTTAACCTTGTGGCCTAAGGCAGATGACTGTGTTGTTTAACCTTGTGGCCTAAGGCAGATGACTGTGTTGTTTAACCTTGTGGCCTAAGGCAGATGACTGTGTTGTTTAACCTTGTGGCCTAAGGCAGATGACTGTGTTGTTTAACCTTGTGGCCTAAGGCAGATGACTGTGTTGTTGAACCTTGAGGCCTAAGGCAGATGACTGTGTTGTTGAACCTTGTGGCCTAAGGCAGATGACTGTGTTGTTTAACCTTGTGGCCTAAGGCAGATGACTGTGTTGTTTAACCTTGTGGCCTAAGGCAGATGACTGTGTTGTTTAACCTTGTGGCCTAAGGCAGATGACTGTGTTGTTTAACCTTGAGGCCTAAGGCAGATGACTGTGTTGTTGAACCTTGTGGCCTATGGCAGATGACTGTGTCGTTTAACCTTGTGGCCTAAGGCAGATGACTGTGTTGTTGAACCTTGTGGCCTAAGGCAGATGACTGTGTTGTTGAACCTTGTGGCCTAAGGCAGATGACTGTGTCGTTTAACCTTGTGGCCTAAGGCAGATGACTGTGTTGTTTAACCTTGAGGCCTAAGGCAGATGACTGTGTTGTTTAACCTTGTGGCCTAAGGCAGATGACTGTGTCGTTTAACCTTGTGGCCTAAGGCAGATGACTGTGTTGTTGAACCTTGTGGCTTAAGGCAGATGACTGTGTTGTTGAACCTTTAGGCCTATGGCAGATGACTGTGTCGTTTAACCGTGAGACCTAAGGCAGATGACTGTGTTGTTGAACCGTGTGGCCTAAGGCAGATGACTGTGTTGTTTAACCTTGTGGCCTAAGGCAGATGACTGTGTTGTTTAACCTTGTGGCCTAAGGCAGATGACTGTGTTGTTTAACCGTGTGGCCTAAGGCAGATGACTGTGTTGTTTAACCTTGTGGCCTATGGCAGATGACTGTGTCGTTTAACCGTGAGACCTAAGGCAGATGACTGTGTTGTTGAAACGTGTGGCCTAAGGCAGATGACTGTGTTGTTTAACCTTGTTGCCTAAAGTAGATAACTGTGTTGTTTAACCTTTAGGCCTATGGCAGATGACTGTGTCGTTTAACCGTGAGACCTAAGGCAGATGACTGTGTTGTTGAAACGTGTGGCCTAAGGCAGATGACTGTGTTGTTTAACCTTGTTGCCTAAAGTAGATAACTGTGTTGTTTAACCTTGTGGACTAAGGTAGATGACTGTGTTGCTGAACCTTGTGGCCTAAGGCAGATGACTGTGTTGTTGAACCTTTAGGCCTATGGCAGATGGCTGTGTTGTTGAACCTTGTGGCCTAAGGCAGATGACTGTGTTGTTGAACCTTGTGGCCTAAGACAGATGACTGTGTTGTTTAACCTTGTGTCCTTAGGCAGATGGCTGTGTTGTTTAACCTTGAGGCCTAAGGCAGATGACTGTGTTGTTTAACCTTGTGGCCTAAGGCAGAGGACTGTGTTGTGTAACCTTGTGGCCTAAGGCAGATGACTGTGTTGTTTAAACTTTTGGCCTAAGCAGATGACTGTGTTGTTGAACCTTGTGGTCTAAGGCTGATGACTGTGTTGTTTAACCTTGTGGCCTAAGGCAGATGACTGTGTTGCTTAACCTTATGGCCTATAACATAAGGCTGTGTTGTTTAACCTTGTGGCCAAAGGCAGATGAATGTGTTGTTTAAAATTTCGGCCTAGGCAGGTGAATGTGTTGTTTAACCTTGTAGCTTAAGGCAGATGACTGTGCTGTTTAACCTTGTGGCCTAAGGCAGATGACTATGTTGCTTAACCTGATGGCCTTTGACATAAGGCTGTGTTGTTTAACCTTGTGGCCTAAGCAGATGACTGTGTTGTTTAACCTCTTGGCCTAAGGCAGATGACTGTGTCGTTTTGAACTTTTCTTTGTTATACTATTTATTACTCAAAGACTGTAATCATCTCTTCCAGAAGAAATACATAATGTCATTTATTCAGATCAACGCATTTCATGAGTTTCTGTTTTCGGATATTGGTTTGTTTCGGAATGTAAATGACGAGATCTCGAGATTTCGCGAGAACTGAACATGCTTAGGGCGGATGGAAATTACGTCGATTGTTGTGAAACATTAAACTCCCCAAATGCAGCATTGCACCTCAGTAGACCAGTTATCCAACCAATATCCAACCAAATTGCATCATTGTTTTTGGATCTTGATTCAACTGCGATATTTAAAATTTAATTTTTTTTTTAAAAACAGTGTCTTTTTAATGCTTAGATTTATACATCTTTCAAATCCAACCACAGTTTTCATTTCAACGTTTAAATTCAATAATCTTCCCTTACAAACTGGCAAGCAGGTTGTTAATAGTCAACAGATCAATGTTTGCATCTTTGTATTCTTGTTAGAATGAATCTTTAGCGCACCATGTTTATTGTATCAGATATTGCTGAGTGTTGCGTAAAACTAAACTTACTCACTCACTTATTATACGAGTCGCCTTGCGTTGGTCGTCATTCACGCTGAGTTCATTGCAGTAGTTAAGTAGATACATGTTCATGGTATTACGACCCGTGAAGATCCGGGTTAGAATTGATCTTCAGTAACCCGGCTTCTCGTAAGAGGTGACTAACGGGATTGTTTGGTCAGCCTTCTGTCATGCTTGACAGATGTCATCGTATCCCAATTGATAGATCGATGCTCATGATCTTGATCACTGGATTGTGTGGTCTAGACTCGATTATTTGCAGACCGCTGCCATACAGCGGAAATATGGCTGAATGCGACATCTGAACCACATTGTTTACAATTACTCAGTTGTCAAAGTTATTGATACATATCTCTCTCCGTGCTATACGTCATATATGATGGGAACAGTAACCTTCACCTTTAGTTGTGGGGTAGCCTAGTGGTTAAAGTATTTGCTCGTCATGCCAAACGCCCTGGTTCGATTCTCAACAATGTGTAAAGTCGAGAAGCGCCCATAGTAATGGAATTATGCTAAAAGAGGCGTAAAATCATAAAGACTCACAGTCAAGGATGGAATTAAAGGCCGGAGTGCAAACTTAAAACATCCCATGGGTTTCCACGAAAATACATGAACTTTTGTGATTATCTCTATGGTTTCAGTTAAAATCCACACATACTTTCATTCGCACTGAAGTTTTCCACTGTACTTGACAAAAAAACGTATACTCTCCCAAAAAGAAACATATACGAATTTCAACTGTATTTTTATGTTTATTTTGAAACATCTTGTAGGCTTTATGAGTCAATGAAATATAGCGAAATTGCACACTGGGAATGCAGACGTATCCGTTTTTGGCACCAAC